GTCTGACCCGACCTGACCTTATCAGGTCGGGTCAAGTCAATTACCCGACCCGACCCGACCTGTTCGGAGCTCTAATCCCGCTAGTTCACCGTTTGGGCAAATCTTGTGGTAATAATCCCATGAACCCTGCGGCATTAGTTGGGTAAGAGTAAGGTATATGGTGTAATAGATCCTTCAGTTCTATGGTGATATGTAGTTCCTGAATAGCTGGTAACCGGAAGAAGGGGGTCAAATCCTCCCAATGAGCTCAAGCCAGCAATAGCACCACTATGGGTGATGGCAATATTTGGGCCAATTACAATAGTGAAGGTTGCCAATGGCATTGACCGGTAGAGACCCTAGGGGAGCCCGACATAAAAGGGTACTTGAGACCCTTGTTATAAGGCCTCATCCACACTACGTACTGAAAAAAAAAAACATAGTTAATTAAGTTTAATTAGTTTTTTATGTTTATTTAGTTAAATTAGTTAATATAGTTAACTAAGTTAATGAAGTTTATAATGTTTCTTTAGTTTTAATAGTTTTACTTTATCTTAAATTAGTAATAGAGTAGATCAAATATTTTATATAAATAGGGTAGGAAATTGTTGCAGTTAAGAACAGACAGTTACAGATAGAAATAGTGAAAGGCAGATTTGAATTAGAGATAATTAGATTTAAGTTCAATTTAGTTTTAATCAAAGTTAATTAAAGAATTTATTGTGAAATTTATAAATTGATAAGTTCACCAACAAGAGCTTATTTAGTTTATTGAATCGTATTGATCCACTTATATTTTATTAATAAACCAAATATTATTCCTATAACATTGATCTGTTAAACTCGTGACCTAAAACCCAATCTATTATTATTGCTCTCCCATTGTATTTAAAGTATTCATACATATTCCCAATTTATATTTATATATCTTCAACATTCCCTGTACTTATAAATTGATATATTCTTAATTTAATAGTTTATTAACACAAACAAGTTCTTAAAGTTATTAAGTTAAATCATTATCCTTCAGATACCTAAAACCTTGCTATATGTATTAAAGTCTATTTTTCAGTCGGTAGACTTTGTAATCGACTTATATACTGTAACAATATTATTTAGGTCAGATTTATGAGTTAAACTGATCTGATCTGACCTATTTAGAACTCTAATTAAACATATGCAGTAGTTTCAAATTTTTAAAATAAGTATAAAATCAGATTAGAAACTAATTTATATAATTTTACTTAATAACTATTAATTAGGTATTATTTGATTTATATCTGATTGTTATATTTACTGATTTTATCTTTTAATTACAAATCAAAAAAGTAACCAATAAGATTAATTAATATTTAACCTATATAATATTTTTTAATGAAAATCACTTTTAATAATTCAGGTTTAACTTTTATTAGATTTTTAATAAAAATCACTTCTGATAATTTGGATGTAACTTTTCTTAAATAAAAGACATTTTATAATTCAAAGATATTTATTATTAACTGAATCTTCAGATCAATCTGAAATTTTCAAATTGAATTATATTCTGAAAAAAATCTGAATAGTTCTGAAATTTTTTCGAATTGTTTTTTTATAATCTAAACTAAACTGAATTGAATCCAACTGAAAAAAATTCAAATTGATCTGATTCAATCATTGCTTTAATTGTAATTATATTTTATATCTGTTCAGCTAAAATTAAAAATATATATATCTAATGGGATGTAATTAAAACTGGATTAATAGACATTCTTCAGGTGTTTAGATCACTGAAAAAGAATGAGAAATGGATAAGACAATTGCTTATATGGATTCAGGAAGCAATCTCTTTCGGGTAGTTAGGAAATCCAGAAAGGTCTGAAGCTATATTTGTAAATACATTTCTAAAAATTTCTTCCTAAAAGTGGTAAGCCACTTCTTTTATGATGCACAAATTAGAGGCTGCATTGCATATGTAATGCATAGGGTGAAGAATTTATCAAAAGCTATAACCATTGCCAGTAAAGCACTTTTGAAAAATATAATAGTTATTACAAGAAAACAGGAAGTATCTTACAAATCATTCGGTCATAATCTTGAAGAATTTGTTTGCTTATCTCCCGCAGGAGCATAGCTTCAAGGGAGGATGGGTTAGATATTATTTACTAAATTTTATTTTTTCGCCCAAAGATATATAGCATATAGAATAATATATCACGAAAATAGCAACCAATCAAAATCATCTATCTGAAAATGCATCCAGCGAGCAGAATATTATTAGATATACAGAGAAATTAGCCCGGATATTTGGACTAGATAGGCAAAATGCAGAAGTATGTAGTGTGCTTTCTGGAAAAAAATAGGGCGCAGAAAAAATTGGATGATGATAATTCCGCGGCATAAAAAGCTTAAAAAGAAGGTAATATGACAAAAAATCGCAAAAAAAACTACGCCAATTATCGCTAAAAAGCCGTTTTGTAGATAGATTAGAGATAATGTAGATGAATTGTTTGTTATGGAGTGTTGTCATTATAACGAAGAACCTATAAATAGTTGCATATTATTTAGTCTTGTACGTTTCTTGATCAGAGATGCTTTGAATTTGAGGTTCTTAATCTCGTGATGTTCATAATAACATGTTCTTCTATCTTTCTTTATTGCAGCATCTGGAGACGAATTCTGATGTGGAATCATTTACGTTATCACCCTGCAGAGATTGTCTTTTTGTGACCATGTTTGAACCAAAGATAATAGGTCGATTCTTTGAAGGACAACGTGACTATTGATATATTTCAATATCGTCTGAACTATCTCAACATGCTGACAAAGATTAAATTACGTAATTTTTTTTACAAAACTATTAAAATAGATCCTTCTCAACTAAAGGTAAATGCATCATTAATTGAAATACGTGATTCGATTTCCACTGGATTAGAATCAGCATTGTTATCTGATTTTTCAGATTCTTTTTCAGGCATTACAGTTTTAATAGTTACGCGATAAGGCATGTTACACTGACCAATCAAACATCACATTCACAAAAAAATATAGCTTACATAATTCGAAATTTTATTTATATTAATGTATGAATGATAATATATTTATAATTCTGACTGAAAGAAAAATAAAAAATAATTCACAAAATAAATCTTAAGTTTTGACAACCCTCGTTCTGAGTATGCTAATGATGTTATGGTAATTTAGGCCTATGCAACCATTACTGTTCAATTCATTATAAGTTGCTGGTTTTGCATTCCTAGCTTTTGCCAGATCTACCTGCAATTTTTCAAAAAACCAGCACATAAGGTCGTTAAAATGTTCTGTGTAGTGAGGTTCAAATATCCAATCTGAATAACATTCAGCTTTCAATTGAGTCCATGTTCGCTTATTCACCTCGCCAAAAAGATCATTCTCTTTCCATTTATGACATTGCACTGCAACAAGATTATGCGTATATGCATAACCCATTCCTGTAAGACCTTCGGGTTGATGACTAGTATGATGTAATTTCGTTACGTCACTATTTACATGATGACCCCGAGAACCCCAGCAAAGAGCCCCGCATCTATAACATGCTTCCGTACACCCAAGCCGTTCCATTACTGATTTATTTCTGGACGGGTTTTGAAAAGGCTCTTGTTTCGGATAACGACTATTCCCTTTGGTTCTAAGTTCCTCCTCGATAGTGCGTTGAAATATTTTGAAATCATCTTTGGTGAATGAGCTATGAAGATTCAATTTGTAGTCTATGTCATCAACTTGTGTCATATAATCATTTACAGATCTTTTGATTTCATCAAAGTTTTTACAGTTACGAATATCTTGAAGAACTCGATCGAATTCTCCATTAAAAGTTTCATTGAATTTTTTTCGTGGATTTCCTACTGCATAGCCATCAACCGTACTTCTAAACCAGTCTTCTATGCGTCGTTTTGGACCTAAAAAATATTGTATAGCTTCTTCTTTATTACCGTTTTGAACTTGTTCAGCAAGTTTCTCAAAGTATTTGAGTCTAATTAACTCAGCGCAAGACAACCAAGGAATATCACATACCGCTACTACTCGTTCATTATTGCCTGCATCCATTGCCGTTTTATTAATAACCCTCAACAAATAATCACCAACGATATGGCCTTCGGAAATTAGAGTATGCCCGTATTGAAGCCGAGTATCAATTAATTTTAAATATTCCTCCTTCTTCTGGTCAAACATTCCAAGTGGAGTATTTTCTTTATTCCATTTTTCCTGTAAACTCTCAATTACTGGTTTAAAATTTAATAAAGCGTATAAGTGAACATTCCACTTGAAATCTGGCAAAAAATTTACATCAAGCTTCTTTGAAAAATCGGAGAGGATTTTGTCTATGTTCATCTTGACATCACGTATAATTCCGGTGTAAAAATGTCGAGCATCTCTATTTTCAAAGATCAAATCTGCTAAATTATCGAGTGTTTCCTGAAGTGCATGGATATGTCCTTCCTGTAAACATTGTGACAACAGATACTTTAGATATTTATATGCACAACATTTGGTTAAATCCGGAAGAATTCCAAATTTGTACTTGTGACGAAGGTATAACGGCATTAACCCATACACGAATTCATACTCTTTATCTATATATTCCGTTACAGGTATAACGTTATTCTTTAATATTATATGATTCCTCAATAAGTTCCATATTTCTTTAACTTTTTGTTCACGTTGATTGCTAGACAGTCCTCCGCTCGGCATGTTTCTTAGGATTACTTCTAATTGTTTGTTGATGATTTCAAAAGAATCAGATGAAATTCCTTTTCGGATAAAGCCGGCCTCGAGCATTTGATTAAGTTTTGTGGATGAAGATTCACGATTAAGTTTGACGTAATTTTCAATCGTTTGCTTAGTTTCCACTTCACAATTCTCGTTATTTTTATTCTTAAGATAATCTTCCAATTCAATTCTTTCCTTTTTTGTTTTTTCGCATTCTACACAGTTAGCATTTCCGCAATCTGTAACATCCTTCACTCCTTTTTCGATCAGTTCCAAACATTCATTTTGGATGCGCAAATTTACGTTTGAACTATCATTGGGAGTCCAATTCTGAAGCTTAGAACGAATTTCCCGCGTGATCAATTTCTCATGTTTTAGGAACGCTCTGTCAATTGTTTCTTTCAATTTTGTGATTTGTTTACCAAGATCAATAAATTCATAAATTTCTCTGATATTTTTGAAACGAACTGCAAAGTCCTCATGGGAGACTGCGCTCCAGTAATTTTGTGTTAACGAATACCAATCTAAAAATTTGATTTTCCTTTGTGAATTCTTGCAATCGTCAATTATAGAATTGTATAAATTGACAACATCCTCGTGATATTGCTCTGAAGGTGGAGCATAAGCAGTTGCACCATTTTTAAATGGTCGAAATTGTTTAAGAAGTTGACCCTTCTTAATTCTTTTATCAAGAATTTGTAGGCATTCCGTATTGGATATTCCCATTTCAATGTCTTGTTCTTCAGCTATTTTCAAAGCCTCTTGAAGGGCGCCTCGAAACTTTTCTTCTGGTTCTGACAGTCTTGATGTGTTTCGTTCAGAAATATGTTGCACCATAAGAATATCAGGAGCTATTCCAGCCTTTTCAAGACGTGCCATCGTTACAATTGCTATCTGTAAAATCTCGGTCAAATCTCGCATTGATTCTCCGAGAACGTTAAGAATTGTTAAATTGCTTACACCCATTGCAAAAGTTGCTAATATTCGATCTTTCTTTTCTGAATCTGGGTCGTCCATCTTTTCTGGTGCACCAAGACCTTCAGTATCAATCAGGATAATTGCGTCAATATTAAGTTGATCAGACAAATCTTTCTCCAAGAATAATAGTCGCATAAAAAGACCTCTAGTACAACGTCCAACTGAAACTGCAAATCTACATGCGAAAAGAGCGTTCAACAGAGTAGATTTTCCCGATGATTGTAAGCCAAGTATACTGATCACGAAAACTCTAAGATCGGGAAATTTTTTGTTAATATGCCCACAAATAGCTGAGAACCAAGCTTCAGATATAGTTCCAGCATCACCATCAAGTAATTCTATGGTGTGACCGCTAATTAGTAATTCGGCATAATATTCTGGTAGGTTCAACCTTATTTCGTTATTTGGATCATTGACAGAATAAACTTTATAGAATTGACCCAATTCACGGAAAAAGTGTTCCATGCCCAAACTCATATTATCAACTTCCACCCAAAGTTGTGCAATTTCTTCTCGAATTCTTTTCTCATTTTCCTGATTCCTATTGACCAAGCTAGATTTACGTAATTCTTCTCTTTTCAATACAGCCTGATTTCGAGCTTTAGAGGATTCTATCATCGAAAGCCTAGATACTTCTCTTTCAAGATGCGCTAGGGCTCGTCTTCTTTTGCTGAGAGGTAATTTTAATATGTTCAAGTATAAACGTACCAATAATTGCAATTCTACATTATTTTGCAAGATTTGCATCCCATCATTCAACTGTTTTCTCTGAAGTTGCATAACTTCCAGCTTAATGTGACGGCAAGTTTTCTCTTTGACGAAGTCTATCAAAAGCTGGGACTCAGTAAGCTCAATACCTTCAGTTAATTGGAGTGATCTTCCCAGTCTTAACTCTTCGGCGTTGAAAAATGAAGTATCGAAACTTAAGGCTTCTTTAAACATCATACGAACTTTTTTCAACGTTTTATCTTTCGTTAAAGATTTGATATCAATTGTATATTTCTTTTTATCTGGGAATTTTCGATGATTCACACAACCGTATATCACCTTTTTGGGATCAACTATGGCTTCGAATTCGTCGATTTGATTTTCGGTGCATCCAGGCATTAAAAAAACCAAAAAGCTAGAAGAAAATTGAATTAAATACTTAATTTGATCTGGATAATCTAAGGCATCACCATGTAAATTTGCGAGCAATACAATTTCCTTTGCCCCTCCCTTATAGTAATTTTCGAAAACATCGTTCCATAAACCCACTTCACAAGTTTCTTGAGTCAACCAAGTAAACTCGACACTTCCGCTGATCATATGTGGAACCCCATATTCTGCTCTTGGTTCGGAACATGAAGAGAACATAAAGTTTGAAGCCATCAACTGATTAAGAATACTGCTTTTGCCTTGGGAATTCGTTCCAATCCGAATGGCAACAATTAACTTGAATGGATCATTGAAAAGGTGGTTTTCAATGATCGTTCCGGGACTTGTTTCCCATTTAATAACCGGACCAGTAAACAAAGGAAGCATAACTTTAAACCTTTTCCCTCTGTCTAATTCAGGCATTATCAAGGGAAATGTAATTGGGAATTGAGACAAGGTTCGAAAGATGTCTTGAGCTACAGTACATTCAGCAGATGCGAGTAAACTAGCAATGCAATCAAATCGAGACAATTTGTTTTTCTTTTCATCTTGGAAATCATCCATATCAGAAAATTCCTCATCAGAAATATCTGAAGCGTCGTCATCTTCCTCGATCAAAGTCTTGATATTTTCTGCTTTAAGAACTTGAGCTCCCCACATCTTCACTTTTTGTCGAATGTATGGAAGAACCGCAATTACACTCCCACCCTTTTCATAAACCGATAATTTTGGAGGATGAAGAATTTTGCTGAGTTTAACATAATGGTAGGGTTCGATCAAAGGTATTTCTTCGCTTAGGATCGAATGCCATTTTTCGCGTATTATTATCACTTTATTATCAACCATGACAGAATAACGTTAAGGTTGCGACCTTTGAGGGAAACTGCATTATCTATATGTACCTAAACATTTTCCAAACCTGCTCTAAACCTGCTCTTTATCACGATGCACAAGAAATGACAAGTCTGTGCGACATATTAATTTTTATTTTTTCCCCAAACAAATGTGAGAAAATGTAAAAGAGTGCCAGATGTGTGGGAATTTTTTTCATAGAGTTCAAAGATGAGGAAAATGGTGTAATTAAAAAATTTCAAATGCATTTTATGTGCGAACTTTATTTAACTGGTAATACAATAACTAATTCGACGCCGTTTAAATAAATAAACAAACTACCTGGCGCTTTAAACCTTATTCTCTATTACAATCAAAGCCTATTACAAAACCTGAACTTATTTTGCTAAAAATCAACAAATTGGATCCTCATTATTTGTATGGATGGAAAACTATGATATAAGAAAAATGATTTACTGTAATAGGTGAAATTTCTCACCCGTCAAATGAAAAAATATCGGCATGATAACCGACGGGAAAATTGCCTATTGATTTATGATATTACCAATAGTAATTTTTTGGGGGGGGGGGGGGGGCTATCAAACCACCTGATGTCTTGCAATATTTTCTTACATACATTAAATAAAAATAAGGCTAATTTATTTCGTATAAAATTTTGTTCTTGTTCTTTTTACGTCTGGTCTCTCAGCTTTTGAATGGAAAGATTCAGAGACTCCGTTATCTCTGTGACTCTCAAATCAGGTTGGATTTTTTTTAGTTTCTTTTTCTTTTCATTTTAATTCGTCTCTCAGAGATTCCGTTGATACAGCTAATAATATTTGTTTGGTCTGATCATCATTTTTATTTGATAGATTACTAATCTTTTTTTTTAACTTTTTAGGTTTGTCGGTTTAGTGGCACAGGAATTTTAATTTTAATTTGAAATGCGCAGTCATTCCAAATAGCCAGATAGTATTTCATTTTTGAAAAACGCTTAGCTAGCTAACATGCCAGTGTTGGATTTCCATCAATAAAAAATGACAATAAAATGAGTAAATGGGGCCTTTGCAATAGAAAGGGGGAAAACTGCCGGAAAAATAAAAAATGAGTTGATGCTAAATTTGAACATATTTCGGCCTGAAAATCATATTTGGTATATAAAAGTAAAATTGATTTTTCCCGGCAGTTTCCCCCCTTTCTATTGCAAAGGCCCCAAATGTTAAAAATTCTCAATTAAACATGATATTTTCTATTGATCGGAATAACTGACATATATTTTCTCGGATTTCTTTGTCCTATTTTAAATTTTCCTGATACAAACCGGCCTAAAATATTATGTATAGAAATGTCTCCATCCAATTTATAAGATTTATTGTCATCTTTGTCTGTTGATTTTCAACCAGTTTGCAAATGCTAAATAATACGTTCTAGGACTCCAGTAAATAAATAGTATGTTCAAATAAAATTGAACTTGCCCAGGATAGGCAGTATTATCATCTGAAATAAAACGCGCCAGAATCTTTGTTGAATTTGCATGTTGAGAAGATAATTTTGACCAAATATTTTCGTTCCAATTCTGTATTGATTGACTTGTAGAAGAATAGGAACGGGGCATTATAATGTCACAATTCTTGTTATATGCGTTACAATAAAATTCAGCTAATAATGGTAAGACATCGTGTAGCAAATATACATCTTTTTTAATGGTCCTAAAATGAACCCGGAAATGGCTCATAACCGAAAGTTCTATTCTTGTCGATAGATAGCAAACGGAATTTGGGTAGTCTTCATTGGTATATTGATCATATATTGAAAGGCTTACTAATGAATTTTTAAGCTTTAGTGTTTCAAGACTTGTTGATCTTGATCGATATGAGATGTTAATTCGTCTAAAATGGTATTATGTTGTATAATTTTCATAAGCTTTGATTTTATGACTATTATGAAATGATCCTAAAAATATATAAAATTTAAGAAAATACCGATATAGTTATATTATTATTAGCATATAGGAATAATTACCTAATAAGCCATTCATGCGCTCCATTGGAAACACCAGAAGGTACAAGGAATCATAACTCAACAAGCATTCACATAAATGCAAATATAAGTGTAAGTTGGGAATTACTTTTTTAGGTCTGTATAATTTTTCTATTTCTTTTACTAATTTTATTAAACGTTGATGATCTTCTTTAAGGCTATCTATCAACACTATTCTACATATATACACAAATGAAATTTGCCAAAATTCTTGTCAGAATCTTCTAAAGGTCCTAAGTAATTGATTTTGCATATATTAATATTAATGTTTTCCACTGATCAGCAGAAATCCTAGAGAAGCCTTCTTCTGTTGATATTTTCTTTAGAGTTCTACTAACATCTGCTGATTCTTTGATTTTATTAGCCCTTTTTTGCATAAGTGATAATTTTTGAATTGTCAACTTTTCTTTGATTCATAATTTTGTCATAATCTACTTGGCAATACCAAAAAAAGACAGTATATAAGATTTATTATGAGAAAATAAACAAAATCAAAATAAGTAATTGATATATTTTCATTAAGATTTCTGATACATGCTTTTTGCGTTACTTCTATATATTGCAGTTTTTCATTTAAAAGCAATTTTTTAATTTCTTTTATATTTCTTTTAATAAACCATATATTCATATTAAAAAACACTAAAATTCAGCTGTTTATCTTTATAATTAGCACATTATACAATTCTTACAAATATATGTCTGTAAAGTTTTCTTGTAATTTGTATACAGTTGAACCTCACTATAATGAATCTTTATTTTTGAAGGTTACAATTCATATAATAAGAAAATTTGGTAACATCTTATCAAATTTTAACAATTTATTCATTATATAGTGATATCAAATATCATATCTAATCAGATTTTAATAAATATCTTAATAAAATGTTAATTTTAAAGAAATATTATTTAATAAATCAATTATTAATTTTAAAATATTAATATCCTATATTATCCAAAATTTTATTCTTTTTCTAATGAATATTTAAATATAACAAATGAATAAAAATTAAGTAAGTTTTATTAAAGATAAAGGTGTTTTTGAATTTCACAAAAATTATACAAAAAAATACATTTTATCACTACCCTTACAAGCTCTGTTTTATTATATAGTTTTTAATAAACAATACCAACAAATAACAATAAATATCATGTATTGTATATGTTATGTGATCATATATCTGATTGTATACATTTTTTGCAATTAAAATTTCTGTAATTTTAGATTTACGCAATTTTTGCAGGTTTGCAATTGAAATTTTTAGCAATTTCAAATTTGAATTATAAAAAATTAAATAAATTAAATCAACTAATTAATCATACTGATTCAACAATAATTAATCCTAGATTTAACTCTAATTAATCTAAGGTTTAACACTCATTAATCCCTATAAAATTTATTAAATAATTTAAATATTCTTATGAATATTTAAATTATTAATTTATACTTTATTAAAATTTATAATGTAACATTTTCTTTAATAGTAATACAAGAAAAAATTCAAAATATCCCTTAAATTTAATATAAAATTCATTATATAAAAAAACTTCATTAACAAAAGTTCTATTTATTATACTTGGTACAGGATTTTTAATTTATTATAATATTGCAAATGGCTTAGTCGCATCCAATAATTTTCAGTGATTTTAAAATGTAAAAAAAATTTTTAATCATAAAAATATTAAAAAATAATATATTGTTTAATAGATCTTAATATGGCCTTTAATATAACATATAGTTTTAGTTCAATTTATTATAAAAATTTTGTTCAGTTAGATTTTTTGACGTTAATTTTAATAGTAATGGTGGGATTTTTGGTGCTTACATTATCATGTGTTCGAAATATGATTAGCTTATATAAGTTATATGACATAATATTATTGGCTAATCATAGCCTAAAACTTTTATTCTTGCATATCTCTGAATTCTTTCAAAACATTTTTAGGAATCTGACAATAAGAGCGATATCATTTAACTGCAAAAACAGCTGCCTTATCTGAAAGCTCAAGTTTATAAGCACTTATGTAACGTGCAAAATGATATGCAAACTGGCAAATTTTTATTAGGCTAATTGAATCTAATGCATGTGGTATAACTTCCTTAAGGCCTTTGAACAAATAATTACAATGAAAATGTGAATACTGTTTTGCCTCTGCTCAAAAAACTCAATATAATTAAGCTTGCAGTAGAATTTCAGATAGAATATACATATATGTCCTGCTTCTTTAATAACCTAAAAAGATAAGTATTGTTTAATTATATTTAAATATTAAAATAAATAATTAACTAATTACAACTTACCTCTTGTAAATATATCCTTTGTAATGCAAAGTCAGGTTAGGAAAAAAATAGGCATGTTGCATAACAATTCGGTTTATCTGGATCAGGATTATGTTGTATACATACATTGCATTTTCTTTTTAAACCCGATATTCACAAATCATATTTCTCAAGAACTCATCGGATACCTTTAAATTTTACCGTTCCATCAATATCTGTAAATGTCATGATATGAGATGAATTATCAGGCATTTTACCATCGCAAAGGAGTGGTTGTTTTCCACCATCCTTCATGCTCATTTTCAAAACTACTAATGCATCATCAGCAAATGCATTATGATTGCAACTGTTATCAAAAAATAGAGCGACTTTTCTCAGGTGAGTATATTCAAATATTGGAATTGCTTATTTTTTTACCTATTTAATAATATCTTTATTTGTCTATTAACTATCACGACTTGTATCGGGATACATTGTAATGTAAGCTTCAATATGTATAATTCGCTCATCATCAGAAAGTGAATCATTAATAGCATATTTCTTTTTTGAAAGTTAGAGTTGTCTAATAAATTCGCAAAGAAAGTCACTTATATAAATGCTAAGATCTTGCAATTTACGATGAATTTGATTCTCATTTGTTAAATCCCAAAATTTGATAGGCATAAAAGATCGACTCATTGTGAGTAATGGGAATAAT